ATGGGTTAGCAGCGGGGACGGCCCTGCTGTGCAACAGAATATCTATTAAACACCTACTGTGTGCCCAGCATCCTTCTAGCCTTTTCAGATAGATACCTCAGTGAGCGACCTAGTTAAATGCTTTTGGTGTCTGCATTCTCCTGGCGAAAGATGAGCAAAAACAATGTGATACAAGTCAGTTACACAGGACGTAGCAAGATGACAGTGTAACGCAAGAAATAGTGAGTGAGGATGGGTGAGGTGAGAGAAGTTTGTAGCAGTAATAGGACAATAGGGGCAGGTCTTATGGAACAGGTGGATTTAAGCAAAGGCTGGAAGACAGTGAGGATGGAGCAAGCTATGTGTAAATCCAGTGCTCAGCCAGTGCAAAGGCCCTGAGGTAGAGCAGGCCTGGTGTGTTCAGAACTGCAGTCCTGCACTGCAGTGAATGAGGGAGGGGAAAGCGGGTGGAAGTGAAGCCCAAGAGCGTTTGGCCTGCGGCTGGGGTGTAGCTCAGTGGTTAGCCATAGGTGGAGCATGCATCAAGGCCCTAGGTTCTGTCCCCAGCAAGGGGAAGGAAGAGAAGGGAAGAGGAGGGAAAGGAAAGAAAGAAGGGAAGGTGAGAAGGAGGGAAGGAAGGAAGGATTGGAAAGGAGGAAAGAAGAATTGAAAGGAGGGAGGGAAGGGAGGAGGAACGGAAGGAAGGAAGGAAGGAAAAGCTGGAAGGGTTGGAAGGGTTGGAAAGGAGGAGGGAAGATGGTTGGAAGGAGGGACAGAAGGAAGGAAGGAAAGGTAGGTCCGGATGGCTCTGCCAGCTCCTGTGGACTGTGTACCTACTAATCACATGTGGGCCACCACTGAGCGCTTACTCTGCACAGACCATGGACCACCAGTAAACGCACACCTACTGTGGGAGGGGCTGTCGGGGCTTCCCGTCACCTGTCATCTTTGCACAGCCCTGAGAGGCACATTACTATCCGTGAAAGCCAGAGCTGCCTGAACCAGAAAAAGGCCACTCTGGGCAGCCAGAAGGATCCTTGCCCGAGGCTTGGGCATGGAGTGGGGAGAGGGACCTCTGTCCCGGGAATGCTGCTGCCCTCACCATTCCTGAGAGCAAGGACCCCCTGCTCAGCAGCCTGGGAGCCCTGGGTCTCAAGCACCGGAATGAGTCGTAAAGTGCTCAGGACAGGGTTGGATGGACCCCTGGAAAGAACTCGAGCTGCCATTATTAATTAGCTAAGGACAGAACAGAGAGAATAAGCGGAGAGACTAAAAAGCGGACACGAGATGGGTAAAAGTGCAGAGCACAGAGCATGGTCGCAGACTGGTACCCAGAAGGCATCGCCTGCTCCTGATGGCTGGGTCTCCCTCTGCTGGCTCTCTGCTCAGCGGAGAGCTCACAGGATTAAGGGCAGCTGATCAGTGAGGAACACTTGTAAGGTCACAATCTGTCCCCAAATACCAAACTGCGAAGGAACTTTTGTACGCCCAAAAAGCCTGTGGCTCTCCAACAGTCTCAAAAAACTTATTGTTGGGAGTCCCATTCTCGGATTTCTCCCTGCAGGATGACCAAAGAGAGGAAGTGACCGAAGACTCCCAAGACCAGGGAGGGAAAGGTGAGTGTGCGGAGTAACTCAGGAGTTCTGGGGCTGCCCGTGTCCTGGGGTGGCTCTGCTGAGTTACAGCTCCTGGGGAAACATCCAGAGGACGTGGGGTTGCTTAGCACTGACCCTTCTACCCCACAGTGTCCAGCCAAGGCCCTGAGGACTCACCACTGGGAACACAGCCCCGTGGCCACTTCAGTCGCCAGCCAGTGAAGTATCCCCGTGGGGGCGTGAGGCCCGTCACCCACCAGCTATCCGGCTTGGCCATGGTGGCCTCCAAGCTGTGCGAGGAAGCCCCGGTCACCCCAGTAACCCCAGCACACAGAGGGAGCTTGAGGGGGCGAGCGCCCAGCCCTGCTGCAGCCTCCTCAGAAGGCAGCCCCCTGCGCCGTACCCCACTCCCCAAGCACTTTGAGATCACGCAGGAGACCGCCCGGCTCCTTTCTAAGCTGGACAGCGAGGCTGTGCCCAGGGCCACCTGCTGCCCTGACCCCCAGTCTGAAGAAGCTGAAGACCATCTCTGACCACCCCACCACCCTAAGGGGCGACCCACCTCCTCCTACCTGGTGGCCACCATCAGGCCAGAAGTTCAGTGGGACTGGTTGCGTGTGTGCGTGTGCATGTGTGCGTGCCTGTGTGTGTGTGGGGGGGGGGGTGTCCAAAGAGTTCCTGTAAAAGACTACATGCCTGCAGAAGGCCTAAAACACTTTTGGGGGTAATGTCCCAAAATCCAGCTCCCTACAGACAACAGGGGGTTGCAAGCATCAGGACCACTCAGGTTCAGCGGTCACCACTCAGGGTCACCACTCAGGGTTGGGTCAAGAAACAGGTCTTTGGCTGTGCTCACTCCCCCACCCCCACCTGCCTCCTTGTCTGCATCCACGGACCGACCAGCCGTGTGGATTGGGGGGGGCAGACCACATTCCACATCCTGGTGGTGCCTGGGGTCTGGTGGTCCCTAAATGTGTCATGTATATATATATATATATATATGTGTGTGTGTGTCTCCTAGCTGTCGGACTTTCCCAAGGGAGGATGACAGGGAAGAGACACCAGCAAGAGCAGTATACTCTTTGTCTTCATTTTACCAAGCCAGGGAAACCCAGGCCCTCTCTGCCAGCACTTAGGGCTGGGCCCGGGACACCAGGCTGAGTCACCGGCCCTCCCAGAGCTCCGTGTCCCTGACTCCGTCCTGCATAATCAAACAAATACAGCCAATATAACCAGGCGCAGATAACCGGGACAATGGGACTGTGTGCTGCTGGGCGTGGGAGCCGGGAAGGAGGCCGCAAGGCAAAGTGGGAGAGACTGTCAGAAACATGACTGCCCCCCACCTCCCCTCCCCTGCACCCAAAGGTCCCCGAGGGCTGCGGCGGAGGAAGGGGGGCAGGTGTTGTCGCAAAGTGGAGCAGCAAAAGCTTGGCGGGGGGTCGGGGCCGGTGGGAGCCAAGTCAGATCAGGGCGTGGCCTGTAAATCGGCGGCTGATTGGACGCCAGGGGGAGGGCGGGTAGGGGGGTGGGCCGCGGACCCTGAGCCCACCGCCCCGCACGTGGGCCCACCAGAGTCCCCGGGTGGCCGATTCCACCCTAAAGACCCGAGACTGCGGGCACGTGAGGTGTGCAGGGACTGTGGGGGGTGGGGGGACGGAGGAGGGGGGAGCCCCACACCGGAAATGGAGAGGGGCGACCCAAAAGGCCCGCGAGGCGCAGAGGAAAGAGGGGCGGGGGCTGCTGTTCCGGACGACCCCACTTCCGAGGCGGCGGAGGCGGGGCTTCCCCAGGTGGCGGGGGAGGGGCGGGAATCCCCCTCCCCCAGGTGGTGGGGGCGTGGCCTGGCTGCGGGTGGGGCGGGGCTTGGGCGCTCAGCACCGCCGGACGCTGCTGGCTTCCCGCCGCGGTGCAGTCGCCGGGGCCATGGATCGCGCGCCGGCCCCGCGGGCGGCTTGACGGGCGGGCGGCGCAGGTAAGGCGGGTGCGGGTGCGCGGGAGGGCGGGGCACGCCCCCTCCTGTCCCCCGTCCCCCCCCACCCCCGGCCAGTCGCGGCCTTCTATTGTCCCGGAGGACCCCCGAGCCGCCCGATGTCCCGCCTGCTTTCCTGCCGCCCTGCTTGTGGGGCCGCCTGTGAGTTCGGATCGGCCGGGTCACCTTGGCACCGCGCGGGGGTCCCCGCCGGTGACCTCACCGTGGCGCGCACACGCCCGGTTCCTTCCCTGCCACCCCACCCCACCCGACGAGTGACCCGCCCTCCAAATGGTCCCGCAGCTCACGCCCCTTTGTCCTGCCCTCCTCCACCAACTCAGGTGCCCAACCAGGTCGCAGATGGGTGGCACGTGGGCTAGGATGGTAGGTGACATTGCGCTTGGATTCCTTGAGTTTAGAAAGGAAAAAAAAAAAGAAACAGCCATTGATCTGAGATGGCTCATAGGTTTCCTTAGGGGATAAGCAGCAGCTCTCCCCAGCCTCCAGCGCCCACCCCACACACCAGCTGCTTCTGCATCAGCCTGGTCCCCATCACAGCCAGAGGTGCCCGGGCTGCTAAGTCTGTCCCCAGCTCTTCCTGTCCTGATGCTCAGCCCTGGCGGCTGCCTGTGTGTCCTTTTGCAACAAGGGCCACCACGCTGATAGACATCTCTGTCTGTGTGCCTGTGTGTGTGTGTGTGTGTGTCCCCCAGATGGTCACCATGGGCCAGTGCTACCAGAATGAGACCATCAGCTTTTTCTACAACAACAGTGGTAAGGAGCTCAGCTCTCACTGGCGTCCCAAAGATGTAGTGGTGGTGACGCTGGGGCTGACTGTCAGCGTGCTGGTCCTGCTCACCAACCTGCTGGTGATTGCGGCCATCGCCTCCAACCGCCGTTTCCACCAGCCCATTTACTACCTGCTGGGCAACCTGGCCGCGGCCGACCTCTTCGCCGGGTGCTTACCTCTTCCTCATGTTCCACACGGGCCCACGCACCGCCCGGCTGTCGCTCAACGGCTGGTTCCTGCGCCAGGGCCTGCTGGACACCAGCCTCACGGCGTCGATGGCCACCCTGCTGGCCATCGCCGTGGAGCGGCACCGCAGTGTGATGGCCGTGCAGCTGCACAGCCGCCTGCCCCGCGGCCGGGTGGTCGCGCTCATCGTGGTGGTGTGGGTGGCCGCCCTGGGCCTGGGGCTGCTGCCCGCACACTTCTGGCACTGTCTCTGTGCCCTGGACCGCTGCTCCCGCATGGCGCCACTGCTCAGCCGCTCCTACCTGGCCGTGTGGGCCCTGTCCAGCCTGCTGGTCTTTGTGCTCATGGTAGCTGTCTACACCCGCATTTTCTTCTACGTGCGAAGACGGGTACAGCGGATGGCCGAGCATGTCAGCTGCCACCCCCGCTACCGGGAGACCACTCTCAGCCTGGTCAAGACCGTCGTCATCATCCTGGGTGAGTGGGGACCACAGGGACCTCATCTCCTCCCTGGCTTATCTTAAGACCGGGAAACGATGGCCAGGCAACAATGGCTCACGCCTGTGACCCTAGGTACTTGGGAGGCTGCGATCAGAAGGATTGCGGTTCCAAGTCAGCCTGGGAAAATAGTTTATGAGACTCCCATCTCCAAAATAAGCAGAGCAAAATGGAGTGGAGGTGTGGCCCGAGTGGTAGAGCGCCTGCTTTGCAAGCGCAAAGCCCTGAGTTCAAATCCCAGTCCCACCAAAAACAAAAAATCTGGGAGTTAATAAGTGACTCATAGTGGGGAGGTCTTGGATGGGAGGTATTCTCCCATAATGTTGGAAAAGAAAACGAAACCCCAAGATAGGACCGGGCAGAGCCTCCAAAGAGGAAAAGGCCCAGGGCCAGAGTGCAAGGAGAAAAAAAGGTGAACACAGTGTCACATTTGCTTCTGTGTTCCATAGGGAACCCTTTAGTTGTTAGCAGGAAGCAAGGTAGCACTCTGGCTACCGGACGGATGTAGAAGGACCCGGATGAGGCTACACCCTACCACCCCAGAGCAAGGATCGACTCTTCCCATCCATCCTTCTCCCTCCATTGGGAGAAAAGGAGGCCTCCTTTCCCCTCAGTGAGCAAATCTCCACGTAGACACATCCAGAACCCTGACCACCCTGTACCAGTTAGGAAAAGTGTGCCTTCTCAGCAGTTCCGCCCATCGCTCTGCAAAGCCAGCAAGACTGGCAGTTATGCCAGGTGCCCGTGGCTCACACCTGTCAGCCTACCTACTTAGGAGGCTGAGATAGGGAGGATCACAGTTCAAGGCCAGCCCCAACAAATAGTTCTTGAGACACCCGCCTCCTCCCCACCCCAACTCCAGAATAACCAGAGCAAAATGGACTGGAGATGTGGCTCAAGGGGCAGGGTGTCTGCTTTGCAAGCAAGCACAAAACCCTGAGTTCAAGCCCCAGGCTCACCAAAAAAAATATATATATATATCTCTGTATACACTGGCAGCTTGTGCTGTGCGCGCTGTGTGGTTGCGGTGGGTGCCGGGCCGGGGGTCTCCTGCCAGCTTGCCTTGCTCACCTCGGCCTCCATCCTGCAGGGGCGTTCGTGGTCTGCTGGACTCCAGGCCAGGTGGTACTGCTGCTGGATGGGCTGGACTGCAAGTCCTGCAATGTCCTGGCTGTGGAGAAATATTTCCTGCTCTTGGCTGAGTCCAACTCGCTGGTGAATGCCGTGGTGTACTCCTGCCGCGACGCCGAGATGCGACGTACCTTCCGCCGTCTCCTCTGCTGCCTGTGCCTCCGCTGGTCCCCGCACAAGGCTGCCCGCTACCCATCCTCCACCCAGACAGGCACCAGCACTCGAATCATCCTTCCCGAGAACGGCCACCCCTTGATGGACTCCACCCTCTAGCGACCTTGGCCTTCTGCAGGGGACAGCAAAGCACCGGGTCTGCTGGCCCAGCCACTGGGACAGACTTGAGGCAGACCCATGGTCTGGCATGGCCCGGCTACGCTCAGACACACACTCTTCCTGCCTCGGGACACACAGGTCATCTCCAAGTGCTGGGGACACTGCCACACGGGGCGCAGGAATCAGGCTCTTCCATCATCTCAGGTTTTAGGGGTTTTTAAAGGACATTTTTGTATTTTACTGTGTTTCCGTGGTACGTTCTGTGGACTGGTTCCTCCTACATGGTGCTGTGGGGTTCAGGGTGGAGGAGATGCGGGCTGTCCTTGGCTGTGCTGCCCAGTGTGACAGGATAACAAGGATGGACCATGGGTGAACTGTCTTGTGAGGCTGGTTTTCTTTTTTTTTTTTTTTGGTGGGACGGGGGTTTGAACTCAGGGCTTCACACTTGCAAAGCAGGTGCTTTACCGCTGGAGCCACACCTCCAGTCCATTTTGCTCTGGTTATTTTGGAGATAGGGTCTCCCAAACTGTTTCCCAGGTCTGGCCTCCAAGCTTGATCCTCCCAATCTCAACCTCCCAAGTAGCTAGGATTACAGGCATGAGCCGTGGCACCTGGCCTGAGGCTCAATCTTTAGCAGCACAGACTAAGAGGTGTGGAGGTCAGCTGGGAAGAATTGGTGGCCCTTTGCAGCCTCCAGGGGCTAGCCTGTTTCCAGGAGGGACAAGATACAGGGATAAGCCGTTCTGCTCAGGTCTCCAAAGCATTTATTTTATTTTATTTTATTTATTTTATTTTATTTTGTCATCAACTCAGTCTGACTGTCCCTGTGTCCTGCAAGTGTCTACCATGGCTCAGGCCAGTAGGCATTTCCTCGTTCTCTTCAGTCACTGGCTGGCTGTTACTCTGTCTCTCTGGTTGGAGTCTTGCACCCAATTCCTTCTGCCTCCATCTTCTCCATCTGTCCCCCTCATCCAGAGCCTGGTCTCTAAGGGCCCTCTTGCTCACGCCTGCCCCTTGGTCTGAATCCAGACGGTTAAAGGCCACGTGCCCTGCTACCCCTCCACCTCCATTCACACTCGGAGTCACACGTAGTGAGGTACGGGTAGCAGGATGCACAATTTGGGAGTCGCCATTTCTCAAGGCCCTGTGCGTCTTCCACCGGTGTGTGGAAGACTGACGTGCCGCACACCTGTAAGCACTTTGGGTTATTTGAGCGTCACCTGCACCTTGAGGCTCTGGTATTAATTTCAGGTGAGTTCAGTAGCTCGGCGAGGTTGAGATGTGGCCCGGGTTACGACAGCTCAGAAAGGGCACAGAAATGCATCAGGTGACTAGAGAGGCCCCCTTGGGGAAGGGGCTCCAGATGCCCACAAAGCCCAGACTTATTCACAGCTTACGTGGACTTGCCCTTCTCAGACCCCCAAGGCCCCAGATGTGCCAGGCCCATAATAAGCCACCTCAGTGTCCAGAAAGTCACCCTGCCAGCGGTGTGGCCATAATCTGGGTTCTGTCCACACCTCAGCACTGTGGAATCGGGGTTATGTCCCTACTTCAGATTCACATGCTGAGTGACAGTAGGAATTTGAACCCAGGTCTCACCCAAGGTCAAATTCTTAAACCAAAAACATCTAGGTTTCCCACTGGGAAAAAAATTCTCCCCTTCTCTGTAAGGAAGCAAGAATGAGCCACGGTGCTGAGTACTTCTGAGGGTCCAGGGCTCCTAGGGCCTGTGTCACCAGAAGTGACAAACCTAGGCGTTCTTCCAGGCATGGATGAGAAGGATGAGGTCTGTGCTCTGGGCCTGCTGGACAGGATCCCCAGTGGCCTCCAAAAGTCAGCTGTGTGTCTCACCTGCTCTGAGTGGCTGCCTTTCCATCAGCCTCCAGGTTTTCATTCGCTTTTTCTTTTTTTTTGTTGTTTTTGGTGGGCCTGGGATTTGAACTCAGGGCTTTGAGCTTGCCAAGCAAGTACTCTGAACACTTCAGCCACACCTCCGGTCCATTTTGTGCTGGTTATTTTAGAGACGGAGTCTGGAGGACTATTTGCCTGGACGGTCCTCAAACTTTGATTCTCCCTATCTCAGCCTCCCAAGGAATTAGGATTACAGGCATGAGCCACCAGGGCCAGGCTTCCGGTTCTCATTTGGGATTTGTCCCTGTCATCTCTCCTCTCTCCCTGGTGGCATCAGCTGTTTGTCTCTGCTGGCCCCCGAAGCTTTCCTGGGTTTTGCTTTGTTGTTTTGAGACGGTCTCTCAATATGTAGCCCAGGCCGGCCTTGAACTATGGCGTCTCCTGCCTCTGCCTCCTGTTTGGTGCTGTCCCACGGGTGATCCTTCCACAGGGCACCTTCCCTCATCACCTCTGCGGGTTCTACGAACTTCCTGTTAGTGGGGCCAAGCTTAGGGCTTCCTCTGTCAGTCTTCCTTGTTGTTCTTACACAATGTCACTCCACTCCTTGCTGTCCCCCGTGGAGGCTCCCCGTTCCCTGCAACCCTGCCATACCATGTGGTGTTTGGGTTTCCTCCTCCAGCAACAGTGGGCAGAAGATGACCCCTGCCCATCTCACAGCACACAGGGTCTAGGAGGTTCATGAATGTGGCGTGGGGACCCATGTCCACTCTGTTCCCTTTCTCTTCGCTGAGGGTCCTTTTCTACCGTCCAGGATCCTAAAAGTGACAGACAGAGGCGTGTGAGGACTTCCCTGTCTGACTTGGGGTGCCCCGCAGTAGGCACTCAGTAGACGTCCATTCTGTGCTCACGTTCTAGCATTTTCTAGGCCTGCAATGCGGTGGACACTTAGGCTGGATCTGGAAGGACGGCTAGGACTGATGTCTGCAGTGGAGCAGAACGTTGGTTCTGACTGCCTGTCTGCCATCACCACAGGTGACGCCCAAATAACCCAAAGTGCTTACAGGTGTGCGGCACGTCAGTCTTCCACACACCAGTGGAAGACGCACAGGGCCTTGAGAAATGGCGACTCCCAAATTGTGCATCCTGCTACCCGTACCTCACTACGTGTGACTCCGAGTGTGAATGGAGGTGGAGGGGTAGCAGGGCACGTGGCCTTTAACCGTCTGGATTCAGACCAAGGGGCAGGCGTGAGCAAGAGGGCCCTTAGAGACCAGGCTCTGGATGAGGGGGACGGATGGAGAAGATGGAGGCAGAAGGAATTGGGTGCAGAACTTATTAAGGTTCCAGTCTGTGACGTGGGAGACCGACCTGGATCACCCCAGGGTGGGCCAGAGGTAATCAGCAGGGTACTGGTGGTAGGATTTGAACTCAGGGCCTCAGGGTTTTGCTAGGCAGGCATTCTACCACTTGAGCCACTCTACCATCATTTTTTCCTGTAGGGTATTTGCCTGGGGCTGGCTTCGAACCTCGATCCTCCTGATCTCTGCCTCCTGAGTAGCTGGGATTACAGGCGTGAGCCACAGGTGCCCTGCTGAAGGAACTTTCAATGCACACAAACTAATCCCACAGAACACTTCTGCACTTAATGAGAATAAGCAAAACTCTGGAGCTTTGACCTTGACCTTGGCTTGGCAGTGACCGGTCATCCATGCCCAGGCTGAGCGGGCTGACCAGAGCCAGAGTGTCCCCAGAGGGCTGAATTCACCACTTTGGCGGGCACACCCTAAGGAAACTCCAATGAGCCACGCCCTTCTGTAACATTAGCTCACTGGGGCAGGGCCTGTGGCAAAGGTGGCAGTTCAGTGGTTTTGTCACATTATTTGAGACTTCCTGTCACGGCTGGCCTGGAGGCCAGGTGCCATGCTGTGAGAGAGCTGGCAGCAGGAAACTGGTGGCCTCTAGTAGCTGATGGCAGCCCAGCTGACAGCTGGGAAGACAACAGGGACTTCAGTCCTGCACGCACGAAGACCTGAATTCCGCTTCCGAGGACTGGAAGCAGAGCCTGAGATCTAGGTAGGAAACCAGCCTGGCCTGCAGCCGGTGAGGCCCTAAGCAGAGGGCAGGCAAAGCTGGGCCCAAGGACCTTGTGACATCAGAAATGCAGCTTGCTTTAAACCACCGGATTTGTGGTAATTGCTTCTGTAGCAATAGATAGACGCCACCACTACCAGACTACACCGGTGAAGGGAGACTGGGGAGAAGCGGGTGATGTCTGCACTTCTAGCAAGACGGGGCGTATTAACAGTAAGCCACAAAAACCAACAAAAAAAGGTTATGATTTATGAAGAAGTAAAATTCCCAGCTGCGGACTTAGCTCAGTGGAGAGCAGTTGAGTAGCGCACACAAGCCTGGGTCTGAGAGACAGAGAGACAGAGAGAGAGAGAGAATTTCTGAAGAATGGATATCAGGGAGAGTGGCTAAAAACAGGTCAGACTTAACAGCAGGGCCACACCTGTAATCCCAGCTACTTGGGAGGCTGAGATTGGGAGGACCGAGGTTCGAGGCCAGCCTGGTCAAATAGTTCTTGAGACCCCATCTCCACAATCAGCAGAGCAAAATGGACTGGAGGTGAGATTGAGACACCGTAAGGCCTCCTAGTCCAGTCGGGTGTTTCATTTAGCAAGAAAAAAGCCAAACGACTTTCTGAATTTTCTTTGATCATTTCTCATTCTCTTTTTAGATTAAACGGGAAAAAAAGGGCTCCCGTGTGACTTCTGGGGCTGCTTACGATCCATTATGCCTACAAATGATCCCATTTGGGAAAGCTGGTGTGCAGAGCTGAGTGAGTGGGACTGGGTCTCGGGCGTGGTGTGCAGCACACTGCAGGGCACCGAGGGTGTGGATTCCCGGCCGTGGCCAGGCCCGCGTGGGAACCTGCACTGCGGTAAGGGCCCGCGGGGATCTACACGTGTCTAGGACACACGCTCCCCGCAGAGCTGTGCAGAGGACTTTGGGTGGGGATGCTCGTGATCTCGGTAGCCACGGACACCCGAAATGGAGCCAGGGCCAGAGGACCTGAAGGCAATTTAGTCATTTATTTAGGCCATCTGTCTATCTATCTGTCATCTATCTACCTGTCATCTATCTATCCATCACCTATTTTCTATTATCTACTTTTGTATCTGAGCAGAGTCTCCCTATGTAGCCCAGGCTGGCCTCAACCTTTTTTTTTGATGGGACTGGGATTTGAAC